GCCCGCGGTGACCTTCCCCGTCTGCTTCCTGTCTCCCGTGGGCGCAGATCTTACTGCTGCTGTTTGGGGTGGGTGAGGCCTTTGGGTGAGGTGGCCGGGCAGGCCGGGGCTCGGCCTTGCCTCGTTGCAAGCCACCCTCCGTCCCTGACGGCGCCTTCTCCGAGCTACGACAACAACTTGTGTATGTGTGGTCATCGCGTCCTTTGGCAGGCGGCTGAAGTTTCACGGTGGTTCTTGGACGGCACTGCTCCAGTCCCGGCGTCCACGGACCTGCGTTCTCCAGTGTCCTTGGTCTGCCAGTGTCTCCACTGGTGTGATCTCGGCCCCGGCCAACAAGTTGATGCATCCCTTCCAGCATCTTCGGTTCGCCGGTCCTGGTGGCTACGCCTCCAGCAACACGGAGCTGCGCACCCTTCCGGCTCCGGTTTGCCGGCGGCGCCGGCCGCCACCCTACCACCGTGTCGGCTCTGTGCCCCGCTGCCTCTCCAACCCCATCCACCATGCCATATGTTGCAAAGCTCGTGTTTTTGTCAGCGGCAGGTGCAGCCCCACCCTCCTACTGAGGTAGCAGTCGACAGGCATGTTGACTCCGGCATCTTCGGATCCTGATCTGGTAGACATGGGATTGCTCGGACTCAGGCCAGGCGAAAGCCATGCTCGGCTTGCCGATGCTGGCAGCGGCGACACCCGCGGATGTCGTTTCCCTTCCTGGAGGCGCTGCCATGTCCTTTTTTCGAGCCCCTCTTCGAGCATCGGGGGAAACCCTAGGTCCGGCTTGTCGGATCGGATGGCGACGGCGTCGCGACGTCGTTCCCCTTCTTGAAGGCGCTATCTTGCTCGCTCGCGGAGTCTCCGGTGTTGGAATTGGAGATGTTTGACATCGTGCTCATCTAGTCTGCTTCTCTAGTCTTAGGTTTGGTGGTTTTAGCTGTGTGTTTCTTCCTGTTTGGGCTGAGCACCCCTCCTCTATGCTCCGGGCACCATGTGCATGCCTCCTCGTGTATGTCATGTGTTGTATCTTCGGTTGTACTCATTCTCCTTCTATCTATCAATGAAAAGATACACAATCTTTGCGTATTCGCGAAAAAAAACTTTCGAAACTGGACAAGTTTAGTCCCTTGTCTCGGTTGACCCGGTATCGCTGCTGACTCAGCGTGGTTTTGACCGGTCTTCGTCCACGTGGCGGTATTTCTCTCTCCTACCTTTCTCCTCACGTTGGATTACCGAGACATTTCATCAAACACCTAGCATGCGCTGCATGTGCAGTCCATGACCGGACCGTGGTGGCTGCTCCCGCCGGTGCTCCCGTGGCTTGTGCGCGTGCACTACGCCGTGGACGGCTGCTGGCTGATGCCCTGTGCACCGGCGTGCTGCTTCGTTCAGGACAAAAGGAAGCCGCAACTCGGGACGGTGCAAGTCAGCGTGAGCATCTCCGTCGCGCTCTCCCCCATGTGGCTCGCAGATCGCTGTGCAGCTCGGCGTCATCTCAGCTGCCGCGGTCCTCGCCGACGGAGCGCTGGCCGCAGCAGCCGAGCGACATGGCATTCACACGCACACCGGCACGCCAGCATGTCCGCCACCAGCCTCACCACGTCCATCACCATCACCTTCGAGAGGCTGTACAAGAGCGCCGCCACCCCGCCTAGCAATGCCCGTGCTGCTGCCTCGTCCCGTTAGTTTTACCCCTGGTGTTTAGGACGCTGTACGAGAGCGTACATGGTGTACATGGGCGACGATGTCTCGTCCTTTTTTTGTGTGTGGGGTATCTCGTCCCTTTTTTTGGCTGTGTACATGGGCGACGCTGCCCCGCCCAGCATGGTCGTCGTGCTGAGCACCAGATGGAGATGCCCGACGCGCTCCTGAGCTTCTCCTTGTGGGCTTGCCTTCATTCTCCGTGGCCACCATGGTGACGCCGCCTGCTCGCATTCATCCTCGTCATGAAGCGGGAGTGGCCGTGGGCCGTGGTGTCCCGCGAGGTAGAGCGGAGCTGTGATGTCTGACAAGGTGCAACAAGCTCGCGGTGGCCAGCGAGGTAGAGCAGAGGCATCGTGACTGGACAGCACATGCAATGCATGCAAGGTGTTCGATGAAATGCCTCAATAAGCCAGAGTGAGAAGGAAGAAGGTAGGAGAGAGAAATACTGCCCGTGTGGATGAAGACCGATCAAAACCATACTGAGTCAGCAGCGATACCGAGTCAACCGAGACAGGGGACTAAGTTTGTCCGGTTTCAAAAGATAAGGGTGCAAGTTATCCGGTTTTAAAGTTAAGGGACTAAATCTAGACTTCACCCAGAGTTGAGGGACGAAAAGTATACTTTTCTCAAAAAAAATCTAAAAGGGAGGCACTAGCTTTGCCTCGTCTTATGAAATAAGAAGAATGATGCTTAGTTAATTAGCGGAAAACTGGATAAAATCGACACAAATGCCCATAGCAACCATCATGGAACATGACAGAGGATCAGGTCGTTTTGATCTTTCTCTCCTAACATTAGTCTGCGAAGGGGGCAGTAACTGCTGATGCAGCATATCAACAACAGAGAGACGCAATGATGGCGACGACCTCTCGCGCCTCAATCCCCGTCGATCCCCGACGAATTGGCGGGCGTTTCTGGGCGCTAGCGGACGAAGATGCCGGAGAAGACGATGAGGACGGGGTATGCCCAGGCGGTTCGCCAGCGGCGTACTAGCCAACCCCATCTGACCTGATCTGCGAGGCCTTCGCTCCCGGGTACGAGGAGGAAGTAGCGGAGATCGTCGATGTGGTGGTCCCTCCTGATGATCCGGCGAGGATGGGTTTGCGCTCCGACGAGAAGACGGAGGTGGTACGACGAGTCGTTCATCACGGCGGCGACGGCAATCCGGCCTTGGAAAGGCCCCATCCCCAAGGTATGTTTGCCAAAACTAACTCTGTTAGACATGGCTCATCCTGAATCATGGACCTTGGTCGTCGGGAAGAAGAAAGGGTGCCGGGGGCCTGCCGGCCGGAAGCTGACACCGCCGGTGGCGTCCTCATAGGAAAATGCGGCGATCGGGATCTGATCTGCCAGGGTGGCTCGTTTGAATTTCCTGTTGGGCGCGAATGGGCCTACTTTGGCGAGTGGTCCGGTGTTGGATGGGTGTATGGCCCAGTGCGACAGACCGAGCGATGGGCTGGGTTCGACAGACGGGTATACGGCCCGGACTAACGCAGTCGATGTGATCGGGTCTTGCAGTTTGGTTTCCTCGAGCGACAACGCTGACGATCGACATCTTCCTTCTGTCGAGGGCGAGGTTAGGGTTCGGCGGTTGCCATCGCCGGGTTTCCCTCCTCTGTCGGGCAGAGCTCGACGCATCCCGCTAGTGGCCATGACTGGTCAGGGAGATGCCCCCCAGCCGCCACCCCAGGCTTCTTCGCAACGGCCACCGCAGCAGCGGGCTGCACCGTCGGGCGGTAATGGGGCGGAGTGCGGGGGCGTTGAGGCCGGGCAGGCCCATGCGACGCCTCATGCGGGACACATTGCTGGCCGCTGGGTGCAAGGCAACACAGGTCGCGGCGACTTCAGGTCTGGTTTCGGAGGCAGCGGCCGCGACGACTTTGGTCACGGACGTGGTGGTTTCAACACTGGTCGAGGCGGCTTTGCTAATGGACGTGGCTATGATGGTGGCTATCAAGGCTATCGTAATGGATGGAATCAATGCCATGACGGGGGTGGAAGAGGTTTTGGCAACAATCAGTGGCAGCATACTTTCAATCCTCCTGCCAGCGACTTTGTTGAGGGTACTTCAGGACCTCAATATCATCAACGGGGTGGCCGGGGAATGGGAGGCCAAAACCCTCCTCCGCGTCGCCCGTATACCCCCAAGGTCTACCCTAAGCAACCGATCATCAAACTGGCAAAGTCTGACGGTGGGGCGGCGAAGACAGCCGCGCTCACTGCCTCTACTTCCACAACAACTTTGCCCGATGCTGCGATGGCAGCAGTCTTGGCGTTGGCAGCGGTGACTATTCCGGCCGCGACGTCTCCCGACGCCAAAGACGGGATGAGCGACAAAGGCAGTGACAAAACAGATATTACGAGGGCTAATAAGGCGGCTCGCAAGAAAGAGAAGATGATGTGCTATCGTTGTGGGGTGCCAGGTCACTTTGTGGTTGACTTCAAGGCGGTGTTATGCGATATATGTCGGAAGCCTGGACGCTTATCTGATGACTGTCCACTGCTTTTGATACCCACGCATGTGGTGACTATTTATGGTGTTTGCAACAACAAGCTCGTGTTCTTTGAGACTCCTCGTACGATCTCGGTGACCAATACGTCGGAGAGCTCGAAATTCAGTTTGGTAAAGGTAACTCAGGGGACATTAACTGAGGAACAGGTGTGTCAGCAGCTCAGACGGCTGGATTCTGAGTCTTTTAACTAGTATCTTATTAGGTTGGAGGATCAGATTTACAAAGTGGAGTTCCCTAGGAGAGAGGGTCTTAACCACTTGCTTAAGTGTGGACTCAGCAGGGTGCCCGGGAGTAAGTGTATTCTTGAGTTTGACGAGTGCAAAAGCCTGAGCCGATGGGGATACCGATGGAGAAGGTATGGGTCAGATTCTCAGGGGTTCCGGAGTCTTTGCTTGATGAGTATATTACTGTCTCCAGTCTGGGATCTCTGTTAGGGAAAACAGAGAAGGTTGACATGCCTTTTACTCGTCTGCATGGAGCTGCTAGACTGCTTGTCACTGTGGTGAGTGCGGAATATATACCGTATTTTGTACCATGAACTTATGATGGCGTGTCTTATGATCTTGATGTTATGGTTGAGGTGGCCCCTCTGGCAGATAATAACACTAGGACACAGATGTTGATATGACAGATGGTGGTACCGGTAGTGGTGGACAGGGGATGGAGGGTAATCCCGAGGATCACGGTGGGAATGAGAAATGGGCCGGAAAGTCCACACCGTCAGCTGAGCCGAGGACTCAGAAGTGGTCGGCCTCCTTCTCCACTCCGGCGGCCGCTCTCCGGTTTGGTTCGTTTCAGACGATGTCCACGCCGAGTCGCTTATGGAGTGACCGCGTGGAGATGGAGGATTATGTCGATGGACTTCCCTTGGAGATGAATGAGGAGCATCACAGGCAGGTGGTGGTTGAGGATACACCGCAGATGACGCCATGTGAGCGACAAGTTGCTCCTGAGGTACCGACTACGGTAGCACCTACCCCTCGTTCTGCGTTGGAGGGTGATGCTGCGGCTGACCGGTTGGGTTCGCCCGACCCACTGCACACCTTCAGCCGCCTCGACCGATCGGCTTGACACAGGTGGTGTCCCCGCTGGTTGGTGACGAGGGCTGCCCGAGCAGTGCTTCTGATGTCCCAGTTGACGCCGCGCCGGT